TTTTTAAAAAATGTGTTTAAATAAAAAGTAGGTGTTTTACACACAACAAAAAAAATCGCTGAAAATTGTTTGGAGAATTTTTGAAGCAAAATGTATGCCAACTTGAGATTTTTAAAATTTTCCGTATCTGCGCAGCATTTTCTTGGTATATGGAGTTATAATAGTCATGTTATATTAAATTAGGGAAAAAACTTACTAAATGCGCACAGATGAGATGCACCGAATGGGAGTAATTGTGTGACACGAATACTCCAGTTTATACAGTCTTTAATTCATTAAAGTAATTTTAAAATGTAATTAAACACCTTAAACACATTTTTATCATGAAGTGACCTACGCTACAAGTTTGAAAAAAAATCGGTTCGGTAGTAATGGTGAAGATTTCGTAGCCAAGATCCCACCAACTGGGGCAGACTGAGAAGAAAATAGGAAAAGTTTCATACAATTGTGCGAATAGTCAATGTTGAAACAACGCCCAAGGGTGGAAAAGAAATGGTCACTTATTCCCCCTTTCCCCATTTTTACCCCCCCCCCCCCCTTGCATACACCAGCATCATATTGCTTGTCACAAGAAACCAGACTAGCCCCCCCCCCCCCCCCACCCCTCACTGTATGACGTCACACTTCTATTATTTATCAGGTTTCATCATTAAGTTTCATTTCCTAGTATTCTGAGATCGACGATAAATGAGGAGTATAAATAGAATACGGGGATGTAACGTTTAATCAAAATTACTTAACTTAAATCATAAATGCGAAAAAGAATTGTGATGTTGCGTTGCGGATTTTCTTCTCTCACAAAAATCAAAACGCTAGATTTTTATAAAAAAAAAAAGTAACAGACCAGACGCAAGACTTCATAAAAATATACCTCACAGAGCAAAGACAATCAAATTGATCAATAATTAATAAACGCAATTTCAATAATGGTACAAAAACGCTTAAACGCGATGTTAAAAATTTAGGCTTTGTGTTTTAGCGCACACTTTAATCAATGTGTTAAAGTTTGATGACCAGCAGTAGGTTTGCCAGTTTTTTCTGCATCTGTAATTCAAGTTAGGCAAACAGTTTCCGCGAACGGAAGAAAAGAGAAGAACTGAAAGTAAAAAAACAACCACATTCAAAAGTCTCTGAATAAAGTGAGTGAAGCTTCGGGGTCTAATTAAGTGATGCTGTCGTATTATTAAGAAATTCATCCACACATTAGCACGATTTCTTTAGGGATAGACAAAAGTGGTCATCTTTTATACATAAATTACATGTACGTAGCTACGTTTCCGGTACTAGGGAGCAACTACTGCATTGCATAAAAAAAACACCAACGTTCATTGCCATCCCTCACCAGAACGAAATAGAAAAAAAAATGTATGGTTTATTTAGAAAATATATGCTATAGCCAGTCCGACCCCTACCCCCGGGACATTTAAGAGCGCCCCGCCCCCAAATGCCCAAAGTAAGGAGAAGGGAGTTATAGTGCTGTATATAGTGGTGTATATAGTGATAATATAGTGTTGTATATAGTACTGATATAGTGCTGTATATAGTGCTAATATAGTGTTGTATATAGTCATAATATAGTGTTGTATATAGTTCTGATATAGTGCTGTATATAGTGCTGATATAGTGTTGTATATAGTGATATTATAGTGTTGTATATAGTTCTGATATAGTGTTGTATATAGTGCTGATATAGTGTTGTATTTAGTGATAATAGAGGGTTGTATATAGTTCTGATATAGTGTTGTATATAGCGCTGATATAGTGTTGTATATAGTGCTGATATAGTATTGTATATAGAGCTGTATGTAGTGCTGTATATAGCGATGAATATTGTGCTGCATATAGGGCTGTACGTGGTGTTGTATATTTTGATATTTTGATATATAGAATATATCTACTTAACCGAAACGGTGTATATAGTTCTGTATATGGTGTTGTAAATAGTGCTGTATTTGGTGCTGTATATCGTGATGTATATAGAGCTGTATATAGTGCTGATGTAGTGTTGTTTATTGAGCTGTACATGGTACTGTATTTAGTGCTGTATATAGTGCTATATATAGAGCTGTATATAGAGCCAGTGGCGTAGGCAGGGAGGGGGTTAGGGAGGGGTCATAACCCCCCCCCATAGACCCCTCGGTATATAGAAAAAGTATGAGGGGGGGGGGTGCAAATCAAAAGTTTGTCCCCGGGTAAAAATTGGAACCCCCTCCCTTGAGACGATCCTGGCTACGCCACTATATAGAGCTGTAGATAGCGCAGTATATGAGTCTTCATATAGTGCTGTAAATATAATGCGTGTTTGTAATTATCATTCGTGGCTTGATAGAACTTTTTCAAATGTACACGTTACCCACCAACTTTGGTAAAAAAAAATACAACCTTTTCTTGATGGCTAAAAGACGAAAAAAAAAATCAGTTTTTAAAAGATAAGTTAGTGGAACATGAACTATTTAAATCCCAAAACCCTAGTCCCCACTCACCCCTTCAACAAATCCCTAAATGTTACGTGTACAATAATCTATCCCAAAAGTTCTGAAGTTCAAATATGCGACGGTTTAAAATTAGACATTTTACAGTCTCAGGTTTTACAACACACATATAGTTTATTAACATCTTTTTGCAGTTTTTGTCAAACTTTACTTAGGTACATTTGGCTTCATCTCTGATGGGTATCTAACTCACTTTAGGAGAAGTAAAGGAGGATGGACATATCGCTGCTCACATTATCCCTTCATATGCCGTTATAAGTTCGAACAGGAAACATTTGGTTATCAAAATATCTATTTAAAAAAGATCAGAAAATTTCTGGGAAAAAATGAACCAATAACTAGTTTAAACATTTTTCCCTACTTTTCGCTGAATCAGAAAGTTAAACAAAAATGGCAGTCTTTTGAAAGGCTTTTACAAAAAAAAAAAAAAAAAATTAGACAAGACAGTCAGCGTTAAAAATTTCAGAATCCCCCCAAGCTACGTCTAGACTTATTTATCATACTCAGCGTCCCCGTACACTTTCTGTGCTTTCAGCACGTCTCATTGGAATAGGGGGGAGGGGGGAGATATTTCTCGAAACTTTACAAGCTGCTTTTAGCCAAATCTCCTACCCCCACCCCTTCCCAAAAAAGGTCGCGTCTTTTAAAGCCAATTCCGACACCTAGAAGTTATTAGCTGTATTTCTTTATGATACCCCTACCCCCAACACCCCCACCCCCCAATATACTATAATACAGAAGTAAAAAAAAAAATTCCCGCGCAATGGCCGCCAGCGACAGACGACGCTAGCACACGACCGCAGAGCGAATAAAATATTCAGGAATCGTCCGCCGCCCCGCTAAAATATTTTATGTTTTGAATTTGCTGCCTCTGAACAAAGAGCTAGCTGCGATTAATTATTCAAGAGGGTTGAAAATTACATTTGTTTTTCCTTCTTTTTTTTTCTCCCCAAAGCAAGTTCTTATTTGTCTCTTCCATAAAGGCACAGGGGGGAAGGGCAATATTTTTTTCTAAAGACAAACATAACAAAACAAAATGGAAATGCTGTTTTATGAAGCGATTATATATTCTTATTGACCGGGGTACTTGTTTATTCAAATGATTGAATAATTCAACTCGCTATAATGGCACATACACTTGCTGTTATTTATTATCTACCTTAACAATCCGAACTATTCTGGTTTCTAAGTCGTTCCCCGAAGCTCTCCAAACAAGGAGATAATCTATTTATCGTTGGATAACCTGAAGCTATATCTTCAAGCAATTCCAGGGCTTTCTGAGTAAATTTCGTTTTCAGACCGTAGTTGAAATATTCAGTAAGTAGAACAATCTATCTTTTTTTTAAAAAAGGTTTAGAATGTTGTTTTCACCCACTTATGATTGTAAATTCAAAGGACACCCAGGTTAAACCTTATATGCCAGAGAATCAAATGTATTCATCCAATTCCTGCTTTAAATTATAAATAGGTATGTGGATATTTACATTAGAAATAAGAGATTGCAATCTTTACAACAATAAAAAAAAATTACAATTGGTATGCTGAGTAGACAGACTTTATTTTAATTAATGACATTCAATCTTAAGACGACGAGAATATCGTCTGTCAGTTAAGTAAAAAAAAAAGTAATTTAAAGCATACTGCATACAAAGTGAAGCTCTACCCACTCGCCCAGTCGTCCCAACCATTTATCGAGTTGAATATTTAAATGCCATATAACACCTATACAGTCAGATGGCAGCGCTGCTATAGTGAGGCAACAAATCCTTGGTATTTCTGCTTCAAACTTTCAGAGTTGGTCTAGTCTGTAGGACCAGGCATCTATAGTTTATGAGGTCAGTTAACTCAGACGTATAGTCGAATGTTGGATGGTCCGTTTACTCGCGCGCGTTTCGATTGGTCAGATATTGCGGAATACTGTAGATCAGATAGAAAGTGTCTTAGGCCCTATAGGTCCGATTGAAAAATAAATTCATGCTATCCTTTAGGCCAGCTAGAGAAACAAATCTTAGGTCCGATAAGTCAGTTAGAAAAAAATCTTAGATCAGGTAAAATGTGTCTTAGGTTCTTTAGGTAACTAGAAAAAATTATTGAATAGAAAAAAAATTGTGCTATACTTTATGTCAGATAGAAGTTTAACTTAGATCCGTTTTGGTAATAGAACAAATAATAACTAGTTTTTCGTTCCTTTAAGTTATAAGTCAGAATAATAATCCATGCATAGTGTTCCGAGGTAAGGTTTTTTAAGAAGTTGTGTTTTTGTCAATTTTGTGATTTATTCGAAGAGGACACGTATGTATATGTTCTCTTCAACGCCTATTATTTCATGGTTGTGAGTTTAACCTCACTGTGAGATCGGTCTATTGTTTTTTTTTTTTTTTTTTTTTGACTTTGTGATTGGTTGAGTTAAATGTTCGTGTCACGACACATAGACCCAGTCGCTACTTTAGTGTGTGAAAAACGTGTAATTATTAATATATTTTTTCCCCATTTATTTTGTTGTCAGGGATGATGGAGGCCAAGGATCCAGTTGACGTGGTCGTCAAGAAGGAACCCACCGACAGCCCCAACGGCGAGCAGGAAGAGGCAGCCATCAATCAAGTCACCATGGACACGCCCATACCCGGCCAGCTCAGGTACGTCAGCAGAAGAGGCCGCCCGCCAGGGGGAGGCTACTCCATGAAGTCCCACAACCACTACTTCGACACCTCCACCAGCGAGTTATCCCGCCAGGCCGGGTTAGCGTCGGGGTCGGCACTGTCCCCATCGGATGTTCTCAAGTCGGTCAGCGGGAACGCCGAGGCGCTGGACATTCGCAGGTTCGGGTTTCAGAACTTCGACGGCGACAAGAGCTCGTTTCGCTGCGACGGATGTGACGTGGTGTTCTCGAGCCGGGACACGTACGCCATGCACATGCTGCTCCGCGCCAAAAACGAGTCCTGCGTGGCCCTCCCCACCTCCGCCATCTCCTCCAACCCGGAGAACCCCACGCCGAGGGAGAAATTCGAACGGGAGCTCCGGCAACAGGCGATGATCAGCGCGCTGAGAAACCAAGCCGCTGCCATGGCGGCTGCTAGCATTCTCCCTAAAGCTTCTCCCGTCTCTGGAGCTTTGTCTCCACTTGCAGCCACTCCAGCTAAAGAAGACGTTGATTCGTTATCCGCAGCAGAAAGAGCTCTTAATTTTGGAAGTCTGTTTTCTTTTGATACGTACGGGGTCTACGTTGATCCTCGACAATACAGACGGTTGTTGGCTGAATATGGGTTAAGAACTTCGAGCTCGATTGTTGCCATGATGGAGCATTTGAGCTGCAGCGTCTGCGGGGAACTCTTCAGCAACAAAGATGCGTTAGCCATGCATATGATGTACCACACGCGGGAAGAAGAGCTCAAGCCCCCGGTTGTGTGGGGCGATGTCTCGAACGGCGCCAACACCTCCCCTACACTACCCAGCAGGCATGGCGCCCCAACGACCCCAGGGAGCGACAAGAGAGAGAACTCCCCTCAAGAAAGGGAGCTAACTGCCGAGCGAGTGGCCGAATTGAAGCGCCTGGCGATAGAATCCTCACTCAGGTCCCCCTGTAAGAAACTCAACTCTGTCAGATCGTCGTCTCGCCCCAAAAGTGTGTCTCAAGACATGGCCGTGACGTCGTCTGCCCAAACCCGGCCCATGTCTGCTGATGACGTCATGTTGTTTGCTAAATCAGGGTTTAAAGACAAACAGAAATCGCAGAATTTCTTTAAAAGCTACGAAGAACTGTATTACAGAAAACGGCCGTTATCCAAAGCTGACAATGACAACAAACGATCCGAAGAAGACCTGGTCTCAAAAAGTAAACAACTTCGCAGAGAAAACGACCTGTATGATTTCTACTCGCTCCAGTATCGTCTAAAATCATCGCAACTGTCGGCAGCGGCAGCCGCGGGCGCGAAGTTATGCGATAATCACGTGTCTTCTGCCACCGGCCCGCAAGACTCGGACGAGACTTCCGACACCAGTTCGCTGAACGATCAGGACACCGGCGCCGGAAATCCTCACACTCGGGCCGAACAACCGCTGAACTTCGGCGGTTCTCGGTCTTTTCCGTATCTCGACGCCATCATGGCTCAGGACGCGGTTTTAGTTCCCTTAGAAACTCTGGACATTGACACTGACGCGGATAAAAACCAGGAGTCGAACAATCTCGAAGAGTCGACTGCTTCAAAGAGCGGGAGCAAGACAGTCGAGAACTCGGCTTTAGATTTCAGTATCTCAGGGCGTAAACGAAGCGAGAGTTTGGGAAGATCCAGTTGGTACGCGGCTCCCAACAACAGCGATGACGAAACCGCTAGCTGCCCTCCTGGAGAAATCAGACAAGACAAGGATTTCAACAAACTGGGCGGGGCTTCGGTTCAGACCAGCTTCAGGCGGGAGCTGTACCTCCAGAACCCGGAAGTAGGTCAAGTTGACGCCTCAAGCCGGGCACATCTGCCAGGGATCAGCGCCACCACCTCGCGACCTTCAAAACCTGGGCACGACAGCGAGAGGTCACTCCGCGGTCTCCAGGCCGATTCTATTGGTCGAATGGGCGAGGCGCGCTACTGCCCCCATTGCGAGATTCTATTTTTAGACGTCACGCTGTTCCACCTCCACATGGGACTTCACAACGTCAACAACCCGTGGCAGTGTAACACGTGCGGCCTGGTGTGTTCTGGACGCCTCGAGTTCAACACCCATGTTCTACACTACTGATACCTCGAGACCGATGAGAACAGCTTTATATTTGTGTGCTTACCCTTTACTGAAATGAATATACCTCAACTTTATAAAGTTCGTTTTGTACATGTTTTATCTTTTAAAATTTGTATCTTATTGTTACATTTTAACCCTTTTGCATTACGCTTTTACCTTTAAGGTACTCAGAACAGCATGTAAAAAAAATATGTATTGATAAGTGCTCATTACATATAGCTTGTAATTACACAGCTTATATGTTCTGCCTGCTTGCATTATGTGCTTGCCAGGAGTTAAAGTTCCTGTATTATAATCATGAAAGAAAACCAGTTTTTAGCAGACTTGTATTCCAATATGACCATATGCTGTATGTGATAATATGAAGCACGCATAATGTGGTTGAATACTACGTATGTCAGCCTCATACGTTGTGTAAAATTTAATTGTTATGCTTGAAGATCAGGACCATTTTAAATCAGCCTTCTTTTCATTCTTCTCTAAATGATTTTTTTTTTCTTAATAAAAATGTAAGTGTAATAAAGCTGATTTATTACTTTGTTTGGTTGGTCAAATAGTTTATAATTTTGTTGCTTATAAAAAAAAAAACAGGACATATACCCACCTAACCTCGAAAGTCGCCTTAAAAAGTGTATGATTCTTTTATTCTGATTTTTTTTTAGTCAGTGAAATTTTCTGGCCGTCTAGACCTTTTCTGGCCGTCTAGACCTTTTCTAGCCGTCTAGACCTTTTACGGCCGTCTAGATCTTTTCTGGCTGTCTAGACCTTTTCTAGCCGCCTACACCTTTTCTGGCCGTCTAGATCTTTTCTGACCGTCTAGACCTTTTCTAGCCGCCTACACCTTTTCTGGCCGTCTAGACCTTTTCTGGCCGTCTAGACCTTTTCTGGCCGTCTAGACCTTTTCTGGCCGTCTAGATCTTTTCTGGCCGTCTAGACCTTTCACAATTATCAGGTATCCTTTCTGCCGTCTAGAACTTTCGCTGTAATCAGGGAGCTTGTTTGGCCGTCTATTCTTATCAGATAGCCTTTCTGGCCGTCAAGACCTCACATTTGCTGACCTCCATATTGCAGAAACATCGAGTTTTGCAGACAATTTTAAACTGTCGCTTCAAATTTCGTTCAATGCTAACTGTACAGACACCACGATGTTTGCTAAGTTACATAAAGCCTTATGTCAACCCACTGATTTACTGACACCTCAACTTTGCTGATGTCAGAAGTCTCATACACTTAGTATTCGTGTTAACATTCTGTAGTGATCAATAATGTGTAAGTGGAAAGAGGGGGGGGGGGGGGGCGGGGCGATTCAGCTTTCACCACTGTTTATGTATGAAAGTATGTGGATGGTGGTAGCCTACATGGTGTTTCAATGTCTCCATATGTCGGGTGATTAGGGTTAGTGTTGTTGTATATTTTACGTCGTCATTGGTATTGAGCCTGTAAGTAAAGGTAAAAAAGTAAAAGTTCCTTTTCGGACCTAGGGGCCTGCGGGGCAGGTGAAGTAGAGTTCACCTGTTTCTGTGCCTCGCTGTCCCATATGGGGCCTGCAGTGTTTCTTCCAGACCTTTTTTCTCCGGGGGGGGGGGGGGGGTAACTTGATATTTTCGGGGGGGGGGGGGGACTAGTAAAATATTTGTTTATATAAATTCCATCTCGTTCGGGGGGGGGGGGGGGTAGACTTTCTTCGAGGGGGGGGGAGGCTGTATGTAGAGATGGCATATGTAAGTTACCGTATGTACTAGAAATGGTATATGTGAGTTACTTTTATGTACTAGAGATGGTGTATGTAAGTTACCTGTATGTAGAGATGGTATATGTAAGTTACCTGTATGTAGAGATGGTATATGTAAGTTACCTGTATGCACTAGAGAAGGTATATGTGAGATACCTGTATGTACTAGAGATGGTATATGTAAGTTACATGTATGTATTAGAGATGGTATCTGTGACAAGCATAGTGAAACAAAGTACGAGAGTTAAAAATAGAAGAAAAACTTACACGCCTGTAATTTAACCAAATATAAGGTTACCTGTATTCTTTAGTTTACCTATTACAGAACAGAAGGGTATGTTTGTATGTGTATGTATTATAAGACTCAGACATGTAATTTTACTGCGTCAGTTTGCCTTGGATGTTTGTGTGACCTCCACCGTTATGTGATCAGTATTTACATAGGGTTTTAAACTGTGTCGGTCTCATCTTTTATCACGGGACAATTTCAGAGCTTATTAATGGTGTCTGTGTATTACAGGTTTATATACATACATATATACATTTTATTTATTTATACGTATGCATGTATATGTGTGTATGTATGAGCAGTAAACTATTTTTATTTTGGTTTCAAAATAAAATTAAAAAAACCACCACTACTACTATCAGAGGCATATTTTAACTTAAACATTTTTTTTGCATCAACTGCACACCATTAGTTGCTTCCCTTGACACGGCAAAATTTACCTCAGTAAAAATTTTAATCTCTTTGGTCGGTTTTTTTTTCATTACATAATGCATCAAATTATCGCTGTTTAAAAATGTAATTTATTTTCATTTTTTTTGTGTGCAATAAAATTAAATGTCGACGGTTTTCATGGATTTTGTTTTAAATTCTCAATTAATAATTAATTTAAAAAAAGATTCAAATACTCTGTGACAACTTTTTTATTATCTGGACGCCGCTTAATGTTTCATTGCAATGCTGATTGCCAAAGTAAGAAAGCAATTATAAAGAGATGTCAGTAAAAGAGGCAGAAATAAATTAATCATAAAAAGTTGTAAGTAAAACGTTGGACAAAATTAATTATGAAAAGTTATAATTAAATGAGGCATGAAGAAAGTAATTATAAAGGGTTGTATGTAAAACGTTGGACAAAATTAATTTTAAAATTTGTAAGTAAAACGGATGAAGAAAGTAATCATAAAAAGTTGTAAATAAAATGTTGGACAAAAGTAATTATAAAGAGTTGGTTAAAATATAAACACTTTTATCATATGATGAACAAACAAAACAACCGGGCATGGCACCGAATTAAGACGAAGGTGCTAATTACGGGGTTGTTATATGTTTATGAAGCTGTAATGATATTAAGGTCTGGGAGGGCTAATACAAACCAATATTTACAGTAAAATAAGACAATATTTGGAACTAAAATACTACGGTTCTTTTTTTTCATAGCATTGTTCATCCAGTCATAAAAACACTAAGGTGATTAATTAATGAAATAAAGATACGGGCACATAATAAACAAAGACAAAAAAGAGACATTTCGAACTACTCTTGCCCCCCCCCACCCCCCCATAAAAAAAGGTAAATTACATTTTCATAGACGATCCCCTCAAAATATAGGTATACCTGTTTTACAATAAATAAATTGTTAAATCTTTATAACAATCTATTTCAAAGCCGCTTAATTAAAATAATGAATATAGGTGGAAGCCATCTACAATAATTAATTAACAAAAGAAAAGTAACAAAATAGACTGTTTAGCACGATTTTTGTTGCGTACAACTTTTTCCAAATAATATCACAATACATCAACATTTTGTGTTGAATATTAAGTTCTCTACTGCTAAGATAAAAAATTGCAACGAAAAAAAACGACACAAAACAAATTATAACAGATGCGTAGCGACGGGGGGGGGGGGGGGGGGGGTACATATTTCTCCGGGCGCCGACCCTAGGGGCGCCAAAATAAGCTCATTTTAGCTATTTTGAATTATAAATATAAAAAATATATGGGGGGGGGGGCAAATTGAAAGTATGTCCCCGGGCGCCGGGAGGGGTCGCTTCGCATCTGAATTATAATAATTTAAAACAACAACTAATCTTTACCGTTAAAAAATAATTCATCACACAAATTATTTTCAAATGGCTTAAAACCTTATATTATAATTAGAACAGTTTATTTAACAGTAACTCTCATGTAACCATAGCCGTTTTGATAAAGAAAATTTAATGAACAAAAAGCAATTTAAGCGAAACAGATGAGGTTTCAACCTATTTGTTATTCATAGGATAAAACTATTCTCTTTAACCAGTGTTAGTTTACAGGAGAACTGAGACCAAAACCACACAATTATCCCCAGAAATCGTCGTTTAATATTTAATTACTTCTTTTTCGAAACATGATATACAAAGTTTTATAAAATATTGAATGCTACATCGAGAGCCTGAACGCCGTGTCGACCAATCATTTGGGGGTAAAAGTGTCACGTGATTGTATCACTGCTGCTTATTCAGGCACAATTTCTTATTTCAAAACAATATCAAGGGTAGGCTAGCAATGGACTTGTGTGTCGATGCATTTATATCAGGGGCGTAGCGAGGGGGGGGCGGGGGTGCGGACCGCACCGGGTGACACCATTTAGGGGGGTGACACCAAGGCAAAAAATAGCAAAATATATAGAGAAAAACTCGAGGGGGGTGCAAATCGAAAGTTTGAGGTGGGGGGGGGGGGTGCAAATCGAAAATTTGAAAGTTTGTCCCTGGGAAGGGTCTCTATGCCTCTGGGGGGGGGGGGGGGTGACACCATTAAGTGCCGCACCGGGTGACACCCGACCTCGCTACGCCACTGATTTATATATATATATATATATATATATATATATATATATATATATATATATATATATATATATATATATATATATATATATATATATATATGTGTGTGTGTGTGTGTATATTTATATATAAATATACTATTTTTTTAGCAAGCAGATAACTACCAGTTACCTTTGTTTCTTTCTTTCTTTAAGGACATCACCGGCTCAGGAGTTGTCTCCCATTAGCCAGGCAAAACTCAACAAACTCTGACTAACTGGCTTGGGTATCAGTTTTATTACCGTATCGGTCACTTCTGTCCGTCGGTCCTCACCAGGCTTATCTTCCACCCTACTAGACACAGGGTAAGCTCGTACCCCACCGTCCTGTACCCGGCTCCACACTAGGGATAAATTAGTTAGCTGGAGTTGGTAGTATTCTTTTGTGTGGAGATTGGTAGTGGGGCTAACACACATATGTGTGTGAGAGTGTGTCAGCGTAAGAGCGTGTGTGTGAGTTTATGTGTGTGCGAGTTTATGTGTGTGTGTCAGTGTTTGAGTGTGTGTATGGGAGGGTGTGAGTGTGAGTGTGTGTGGGTTTATGTGTGTGTGAGTTTATGTGTGTGTGTGTGTGTCAGTGTTTGAGTGTGGGTATGGGAGGGTGTGAGCATGTGAGTTTGTGTGTGTGTGTTTATGTGTGTGTGTCAGTGTTTGAGTGTATGTATGGAAGGGTGTGTGTGTGAGTTTGTGTGTGTGAGTGTGTGTATGTCGGTGTGTGTATTAGTGTGTGTGTGCGTGTGTGCGTGTGTGTGTAAGTGAACATTGAGATAGAATTGACTACAACAATCGGAATGAGGAAGTTGCAAGACAACGCAACATTTCAACTGAATTACAGACATAACTAGAAAACATTTGTCACAATACAAAAAGAAGTTTAGTAAACTAACCATACTGTCGCGGCCTACTGAAAAATTCAGCAGTTTTAACAAATCGTTGTTGGTAATCGATACAAATAAAATATAATATGGATGAATTAATATCTTTATAACTCGAGAAACGATAGAATGACAATGACAAGCCTGGATAAGCATCGATGTATTGTCTTGTAATTTGTATCCTAGCATTTATTGTACCGTCTCAACTTTATAAATGTACGGTCTGTGAATAATGTATATATTATGCGCTAACTAATGTAGGAGTTAAGTCCCTTCATATAACGATGGCATGAGGTAAGGATATTTCTGATGGTATAACCTAACAATATTTCTGATGGTATAACCTAATAATATTTCTGATGGTATAACCTAACAATATTTCTGATGGTATAACCTAACAATATTTCTGATGGTATAATCTAACAATATTTCTGATGGTATAACCTAACAATATTACAGATGACATGCAAATATTACAGATGGTATCACCGAGGCTTCAGAAGATACGGTCTAACAATATTAAAGATGGTATATTAAGAAGGAGTAAGATGACTTATACTTTTAAAATATTTTATTATATTGTGTTATAAGAGTTGAGTGAAGGTGAAGAGAAATGTTATAATAAACACAGCTTCATCATCATCCTCATCATCATTCCTGTGGACCCCTTGTGGAGCATAGTGGATTGGGAGCTGGATATAACGATGGGCGCCCAGAACCGAATACGACGTAGATTCCTCCAAGTTGGGCCCACGACATTCCGGCTGCTTCTGCTTCACTGACAGCTGATCTTGTCCATGTACGTTTTGGTCTACCTACTTCCCTCTTTCCTTGGGGATTCCAAACTAGTGCCTGTCTGGTGATGCACACTGCTTCGATTTTCTTTATTCTTTTCTCAGAATTTTTAATATTTGGCGCTACATTTAGATGACAGTAGTTATCGTGTTCTTTGGCATTAAGCAATGATTGGTTGTAATGAAGATGTTAATTTGTTTTTCATAAAATCCTAGCATGTTACTTGAAACAAATTATATCGTGGTTCCTCGGGTAAAGGGAGGGGTGAATTCTAGAACTTGCATAGAATATGAAAGATTATAGAACTTTCATAGAATATGAACATGTTCAATTGCGCTATATGGTTGAAAATGTCATATCTTATTAATAAGTACAATGAACATAGACAAGTGCATCTGCTTATGTGTTGCCATAGCGACTAAGAATGTTTTTATGTGTCTGAGAAGGCAATAAAACTTTGCAACTTCGATCAAACAATGAACTATCTAATTTTTTTTTCTAAAAACTATTTTTTTTCTAACCCCCCCCCCTTTCCCCCCATCTCGATAAATTAATCGCCAACCAGACGAAGATCATTTTGTCTTGAGAAATATACAAAAAGTATGAGTAATGCAAAAAAGATTGCAAAAAAAAATTTCTACAGTCGATTTAATTATTTATGATCAAACTTCCATCTCGACAAAGGGAAAGCATCCGGATCAATACAAAATATGGTATTGAGAATAAGCGAACATAAAGGGATTGATGTTCCTACATACAATCATTTATGTACCACGTCTATAGGGGTACTTAACTCAAAGATACATTTTGATTGGCTGCATTTAGCCAGTCATTTTGAAATCCCATCCCACAAGAGTCCATTTATTCTTTACAAACCTACATAATATAGTCTGATCAGCCGAAGAAAGGCCGGCGTCATAAATAATGCAGCACATTTTTCCAGAAAATATATTTCTCACAATACTTTTTGTTTCGTGTATTTTTTGTGCGCGTGTGATTAACTCAAACATTTTAAAGTTTTTAATGGATGCACAAAATGGTTTCCAGCTATCAATGATCAGCGTTTTGTCAGGAAAAAAAAAGCCTTAATGTATGTCTGATTTTACAATTAGCCGTATTGAAAAACGCACACGTTTTGCAATATTTAGCATTAAATAATTCAAAATTCTCTACATTATAAGCTAAAAAATCTGCAGTACTCGCAATGGAATTGGGAAAAGCTATATGTGTGCGTCAGGCCCACGAGGTTTTAGTAAATGGAAAGGTATGAAATGATGATATTCATACAGAAATGGTGCTTATGGTTATAAAAAATGTGTTTTCTTACTGAAAATATAGATGACGTAGTTTGTGGAAAAGAATGTTAGGGGTAAGGTACGCCAGTTTAACATATGTGGTAAGGTCTCTATGGTTAAGGTAAAGTTATTGTGAGGTCTGTAATAGGGTTACCTACAGGAGGAGACTTGACACATTGCTGACCTACCGAAGAGACTTGAGACCTTGTTGACCTATTGATGGAGACTTTTTACCTTGGTGACCTACAGTTTGAGACTTGCCACCTTCCTGAGTTAGAAGCTTTGATATATTGGTGACCTACTAATGGAGATTATCCATCTTGTTAACCTACAGAGTTAGTGGCTTTGACACATTGGTGACCTACTAAGGAAGGTTTTCCATTTTGGTGACCTACTGAAGGAGACTTGACACATTGGTGACCTAACTTTTGAGACGTTATACCTCGGTGACCTTATGAAGCAAACAATGATGCCGTAGTGTGCGGTGAAATGCCCCAAGTCCCCAAAGCGTACATTCTACAAGGCGAGGCTTTTTTAAATTTCTTGACTATCACATCTTATTTTATATTTTTTGGGCCAAAAATATTCTCAGATGAAGCTGCCGCCTCCCCCCCCCCCCCCATCCATGGGGTTTACCGACCCAACCACGCCGAACACGTTTTGAATATTTTTTCTCAAATGGCAGATTTTATTTTGTAGTCTATACCCCAACAAGTTTACATGAATGTATAAACCGAAATTATTTGGTTAATTAGTACAGCCTATGCCCATGGTTGCTAAATCAAAAAGTCTCGAGTTCGAACCCTCAGGCAGATGAGGCTCGACAGCTGGGGACAGCAACTCTTCTAGGAGAGACAACTACAAAATCAAACAAATGCTGAATGTAGTTGTAGTTCTTGGTTGGACAAAGGCTATGGAAGCAAATTTAAAAAGAAAAGCAGGCTGAAATCGGAGTCAATGGCCTATATGTCGAATAACAAGATGACACTTAATTGTGTTGGAGGGAATCCCTTCTACTACAAAAATTAAGAACGAAGAATAAGAAAACGGCATAAAATATAAGATAAATAATAAGTCAATGATAAATAACAAGCAACAGATACATGTGTCTACGGAACATACTGATTTTTTAAAAATTACATGAATGAGTTGGATAATAAGCAAGCAGTTCAAAATTTTATCCACTAGAAGTTGGAGCAATGTTGGAGATAAAGCGACCACCAAACACAGGGAAGCGGGGCCGTTGTTTATTAATTTCGGGCTGTTAATGTGTGTGGAATAATACATGGACGTGGCCGGTTCCTCGGGTAAACTTTCAGATGTATGTGTGAGATTTGGAGGCCATGTCTACGTCAATATGTAGTTTAAAGCGTTTCATATCCTCGCTTTCCCACAAGGAGTCTGAAAAAAAAGTTAGTGTATTATTGTATGATAGGACTGGGTCTGTGAACATATCCCTCGTCTCTACCCCCCGTCATAGCACCCCCCACCTTCCCCGATCAATTACACCGTATCAATCATACGCAGGGTTATAACCCCCCCCCCCCCTTACATATTCTTATTCTTAAAACTATCCATATCCATCGTTATATCCAGCTCCCCATCTCTAGCCCCAACCCTATCCCTATAGGCATACCTATATTTTCCTTGTTTTGTATTGGGTTAATTAGTAATCGACCTTGGGTAGGGTAGTGTCTTAGTGTAGTTTTTTTTTCGAAAGTTAAGTACAGGTAGGTAATGTACAGAAGGGACTTTGTCCAGGGGGTAAATGACCGCAGGCATTTTGACAGGGTGGGGGGTGAGTATGTCCTGTTTCCGATCAGCCTGCTCGTGTTCCTTCAGATTTTGAATATCTTCACATTGGTATCAATTATAAAGTATGTTCTGGACATCGATGCCTAATTTTCATTTCGTCTTGATAACGATGCCAAGGTGAACTATTCTTAAAGCGGTGTCGTTTTCACATTATAATTTAAACGGTGTCGATTTTATTTTGTCTCCCCAGCGGTGTTTTAATAGCTTCATACCCGTCTCGTTTGTACATTGTATTCTTTTAAAAGGGAAACCAATAGTCGTAGAACATTAAAATATATTCAGCGTCACAAGATTCAAGTTATTGATATTTAAATGTTTCGTATGCTAGTAAAAATGGCGTACACCATACGTCATATATATATAAAGAATTTTTTATTCCGGTCAAAAATCTACACCGGAAATCAGGCCAACAGCAGTCTTGTCTGAACGATACCAATAAGTTTAGAAGCCTACACGACCTATTTGGTACTGTTAAGAAGGGGTAGGTAAAGTAGAGCTCATCTGGAGGTATCAAGGGTTGTGTGTTCATAACTGCACACTCCGTCGGAACACAAGAATTTATGGACACGATTAAGAAATAACAGAGCTTTAAGACCTGATATTTTTGTACTACCATGAAGCTGTGTACTGTTTTGAACCTCTCCCTCAACGACCATCACCATACTTTTACAGCCAATTTTATATTTCAAAAAGAAAAGCTACCATTTCGAACATGGCTGTCTATTAAGCAAGAGTTCACCTATTTCTGTGACTTAGGAAAATGATGGGATAGCGTGGTCAGCACTATGCCCAGCCCATTTTACTTTTCCCTATTGCCAGTCAGGTACCCGAGTTCGAGACCTTCTGTTTAGCAGTCGGGCGCTCTACCTCCCATCCACAATCCCGTCACATTCTCACATGAACGTAAAAAGTTACTACAAAATTAACCCCAACAAAACTACCAGCATTATAAAACTTACACTTACTTATTTTAAATATCAACAAAAATATTTTTAAAAGTATTACTTTATCCAGTCTAGAGTTACTTGATTTTAAACTTATAGAAATTTATTTTTAAATAATTAAAAGAAAAAACTAACTTTATTCTAGAATTTTTTAAAAACCCACTTTGTTGTGAATTAAAAAAAAAAACTTACTTTGTCCTATAATGTAAAAAAAAAAAATTTGTTTTGAATTTAAAAAAAAAAGTCAACTTTATTTTTAATTAGAAAACAAACGTACTTTATTCTAGAATTAAAAACAACAACTTGGTTATGAATTTAAAAAAAAAAAAACTTACTATTCTTTAGAATTAAAAACAACAACTTGGTTATGAAATTTTTAAAATAAAACATACTTTTCTCTAGAATTAAAAACAACTTGGTTATAAATTTAAAAAAAAACTTACTCTTCTCTAGAATTGACTTTTTGTCCTCCGGGTAAAATTTAGAAAATCTGAAATCCCCGTTGAGGAGCGGTAAACAGGGAATGGTCTGTGTACAGTTAGGGAATGGACACTTCAGGTTGGCACGGTAGTTTTGCATGGGGATGGGGAATTCTTGCAACAGCAGGGGACGGATGTGGGCGAGGCAGCTGGAGGAATCAACAAAAGGTGTGGGACTCTGTTAAATCGAGGGTAAAACAAGGCTTTTGGTTGTGGTAAGAAAACATATTTCTAAACCTAACCCTAACATTTCAAAAATATCGATATGGCTAAAAACAAATTGTTTATACCGAGAAAGAGGGGGTGCATTTATTTTATAACACAAAGAGAGTCAATGTTCTATTTTATTTCTTATATTGCATTATCCTTTATAAGTGTGTTATAGATAAACGATATATAAGAATTTTTTTTTTTAATTTTTTTCCCCTTCAAAATGTCCTTCCAGTAGAAACTATTGGCCTGCACATTTTCTCCCATTTCAGCTTTATGTAAGCCTTTAAAACAACTTCCTCTAAAGGAATGTGATTCCAATAAACCACATAAACAGTTCTAATAATATTTTAACATCGAATTATGCTGTGGTTATAGTGGGAGGAGGGTGGCTCCTAGAAATGGCGATCTATGGAGATGTTATGTACTTTTCCGTTTTGGGATTGCATATGAATTAAGTAAATAATAACTGTCATGTGGAAAGTAAAGCTACACTATAAAATCTGACGGCCGGCCCATGGAGGATGGGAAGTTATGTTCACATGTTCTTGTAACCTTGGTATATAAAGGGATAGTATAGACACCACTATGCTCTGCTGCCTTTACCTTTCCTAAAGTGAGTCAGGTACCCATCAGAGCTGAGTGAACTCAGAGATGTCCTATGGACTCGAGGCCGGGATTTGAGTTCGATACTTTCAGGTTAGACGCCATGATCTCTATCCTCTAACCACACCGCCCAATCTCTCATGTATACACATGTATATTATACATGTATATTGTATGTAATGCTTTGATTGACCTTTTACCACAGAACGACAAAATACCTACATTTAGCACGAGTGTATGTGCTTTGTATATGTATTGTAACTGTAGCATCGACAGCTGATACGTGTGATACCTCCCTACCACTACCCTACTGTGGCATCTGGACTCCCTGGGTTACACACGCTGGTGTCGAGTATTTACAAGGAGATGACGATTTAACAATGACAAGAATACAAACTGAACTAATCAGGATAATTACTGATGTTAATGTGTGAATATTTTATGCAAGGTGCCACGTGGGTAAATGGCAACTATTATGCTTTCAGCGCAGTCAGCCGTTTCGTTAATCAATACAGTTTTCGGCGTTTAGCCTATACTTTGCATTACTAGTTTTGAGAACCGCTATTAGGTGGTTTTGATGCTTGTTGTTACATAACTAGCTTTGGCGGAACCCTGTTGTAGCAAGATCCTTTGTTGCTTGACTGTTATACAGGCCTTTATGTTACAGCTGATTTTATTTACTGGTACAGGGAAGATGACACAATCCTAACAATCTGCACTAACACGCTCTAGTAAATAGATTAAAATACTCGGACACAACTCCTAGAAAAAGAGCAAAGCAGATAGAAACTTCGACTAAAAGACCAAAAACAAACAAAACTATACAAAAGACCAAAAACAAACTTTTACAAAAAGACCAAAAACAAACTTCTACAAAAAGACCAAAAAACAAACTTCTACAAAAAGACCAAAATCAAACTTCTACAAAAAGACCAAAAACAAACTTCTACAAAAAGACCAAAAACAAACTTCTACAAAAAGACCAAAAAACAAACTTCTACAAAAAGACCAAAATCAAACTTCTACAAAAAGACCAAAAACAAACTTCTACAAAAAGACCAAAAACAAACTTCTACAAAAAGACCAAAAAACAAACTTCTACAAAAAGACCAAAATCAAACTTCTACAAAAAGACCAAAAACAAACTTCTACAAAAAGACCAAAATCAAACTTCTACAAAAAGACCAAAAACAAACTTCTACAAAAAGACCAAAAACAGAAACAACCTCCCCAAACGACCAGCGACTAGACGTACCTCCGACAAAATATGTGACCACACTCAAGAGAAAACGGATCCCATGGTTTCCGGCGACATATCCCACAGATTTTGCACTTTACTTTAACGATGCTTGACTTCTTACTTCCTGGTTCCTCCTGAAACACGAACGTTTAGCCAACACATTATCATCTGCAGAGAAATCTAGCATTAGTTAGAGTTAGCACTAGGTCGGTTTATGATTTCTTTAGGCTACCTGAAAATAGCTTACCGTTCACAATACTCCCTTCTTATTTGAAGAGTCGAATGTCCGGTGTTTGTAAAAAAAAGTACCCCCAAACTTTAGCCCCACTCAGAGACGTAGCGACCCTTCCCGGCGCCCGGGGACAAACTTTTCGATTTGCACCCCCCCCTCAAGATTTCGATTTGCAACCCCCCTCAAACTTTCGATTTGCACCCCCCCCCCCAACTCGAGATTTCCATTTGCACCCCCCCCCCCCCCCTCGAGATTTCCATTTGCACCCTCCCCTCAAACTTTCGATTTGCATCCACCTCAATCTTTCAATTTACTTTTCCAACCCATTTTTGCGCCCCCTAAGGTCGGCGCCCGGGGACATATGTCCCCCCCCCCCTCGCTACGCTACTGGCCCCACTTACAACTGACTTTATCGAGGCGCTATCTTGCACGACCTCATCGTTGTCAAACTCATAGAAGGTCCCTTTCTGCTGGCAAGACTTTGGGCGCCAGGCGTTGATAGATCTTCTGGGGAGCTGTTTTCTCTGGAGCGGCGTCTCCCGTCGTCTGAATGTGGCCCAGAGGTTGGTGAAACTTCCAGAATATTCGATCATTTTAATGATAGTGTGGGTGACGTGGGGGGGGGGGGGGCTGAAATAGACAGAGGAATTTCAAAGCTTATAATAACGTTATTTTACACAAATGCAGACGTATATAGCAGGCGTTGAAATGGGATTCTCAGTCATCATAATCACACTCAGCTTTTAGCTTCAACTCCCGGTGGGTATTTGTAACTCGTATAGTAAGAACCCCTGGGCAATTTTTCTAGCAGAGCGCGGTCATTGCAATGAACAACAAAAACAGTGTAAATATAACCTTTTAGATGCGAATTGGCTGAAAATGGATAGAAGTGGCTTAATTATTCTTGAACTGTGTACTGTGCCAATAAGAAAATAGAATCATATAAAAAATACAATCGTTTTATGTTGATAAGATTATAGTATCATGTCGATAAGACTATAGTATCATGGCAATAAGATTATCATATCGCTAGGCCTCACCGGGTGTTAGATGCCCACAATCTTTAAATTAGGCCGTGGAGTGATGTCTTGTAGTTCAGCTCTATGGAAAGCTCAAAACTTTCGCGTTCATGCAATGGAGGGTGAGCAGTCCTGGTCTAGATCCACTCCGGTGGAGCAGCTGTGGGCTAGTTCACTCCGGTGGAGCAGCCGTGGGCTAGTTCACTCCGGCGGATGGGCTAGTTCACTCCGGTGGAGGGGCTAGTTCACTCCGGTAGAGCAGCCGTGGGCTAGTTCACTCCGGTGGAGCAGCCGTGGGCTAGTTCACTCCGGTGGAGCAGCTGTGGGCTAGTTCACTCCGGTGGAGCAGCCGTGGGCTAGTTCACTCCGGTGGAGCAGCTGTGGGCTAGTTCACTCCGGTGGAGCAGCTGTGGGCTAGTTCACTCCGGTGGAGCAGCTGTGGGCTAGTTCACTCCGGTGGAACAGCTGTGGGCTAGTTCACTCCGGTGGAGCAGCTGTGGGCTAGTTCACTCCGGTGGAGCAGCTGTGGGCTAGTTCACTTCGGTGGAGGGGCTAGTTCACTCCGGTGGAGGGGCTAGTTCACTCCGGTGGAGGGGCTAGTTCACTCCGGTGGAGGGGCTAGTTCACTCCGGTGGAGGGGCTAGTTCACTCCGGTGGAGCAGCTGTGGGCTAGTTCACTCCGGTGGAGCAGCTGTGGGCTAGTTCACTCCGGTGGAGGGGCTAGTTCACTCCGGTGGAGGGGCTAGTTCACTCCGGTAGAGAAGCCGTGGGCTAGTTCACTCCGGTGGAACAGCTGTGGGCTAGTTCACTCCGGTGGAGCAGCTGTGGGCTAGTTCACTCCGGTGGAGCAGCTGTGGGCTAGTTCACTCCGGTGGAACAGCTGTGGGCTAGTTCACTCCGGTGGAGCAGCTGTGGGCTAGTTCACTCCGGTGGAGGGGCTAGTTCACTCCGGTGGAGCAGCTGTGGGCTAGTTCACTCCGGTGGAGCAGCTGTGGGCTAGTTCACTTCGGTGGAGGGGCTAGTTCACTCCGGTGGAGGGGCTAGTTCACTCCGGTGGAGGGGCTAGTTCACTCCGGTGGAGGGGCTGTGGGCTAGTTCACTCCGGTGGAGCAGCTGTGGGCTAGTTCACTCCGGTGGAGGGGCTAGTTCACTCCGGTGGAGGGGCTGTGGGCTAGTTCACTCCGGTGGAGGGGCTAGTTCACTCCGGTGGAGGGGCTAGTTCACTCCAGTGGAGGGGCTAGTTCACTCCAGTGGAGGGGCTAGTTCACTCTGGTGGAGTAGCTGTGGGCTAGTTCACTCCGGTGGAGCAGCTGTGGGCTAGTTCACTCCGGCTTAGCAGACGTGGGCTAGTCACCATCGTCTGGTGACAACTCTCACGACAACAAGTCCGTGCGTTTCCTGTTTATGGCTGTGATGACCTTGAATCCTGATTTATGGCTGTGATTACCTTGAAACCTGTTTTTATGGCTGTGATGACCTCGAAACCTGCTATACACAGTGAGAAAATAGCTAATAAACGTTACGAGAAATTATGTGCCTGTATTTGTGCCTGTGTGTGTGTGCGTTCGTGTATATCTGTGTGCGCGTATTTGTGTTTGTGTGTGTGAGTGTGTGTGTAGACTAAATGTTGCTAGGCCTCTATGTATATGCGTATTTATAATGCATCATTAGATCTAGGCAATGTGTAGCCTATATATTTGATTGCAAGTTCTTCATATTTATAGGTATTTATATAACAAGCCTAGAATATATATATATATATATATATATATATATATATATATATATATATATATATATATATATATATATATATATATATATATATATATATATATATATATATATATATATATATGTATATATATATATATATATGTGTGTGTGTGTGTGTGTGTGCCTGTGTCGTATAGATGCAGGAATAAGTAATGGTTATCGTTGCTTTTAATGTATGGCAAAAACAAAATAAAATTATATTTAATTTTAAGTCCTTTGCTTTAACAAATTTAGTAGGCCTATTTAAAATATTGAAACATGAGTTTTCTAAATTTAAAGCAGTTTTAATTTAAACTGAAAGTGTACAGTGTACTATTCTAGATCTAGAATCATCATGTAGATCTACACTGTATATTATAAAGTGATCAGTCAGATTGAACTACAGTAGTTGTTTTAGAAAAAGTACCTACGAATATTATTCCTTTTATTTCTAAACTTTATTGTTTAAAACGTTTAACTCTAAACTCTGAGTAAGCAAGGCTTAATCAAATAACTTACACGGGTTAAAAGTTAAGTTTTATTTGTGTCCTATTGCTAAACTACAGGGCGGCCATGATTCTGATTTTTTAAGTAAAATAATTTCATGCAAAATTGCATGACGTCATTTTTAGTATTTAAGCCTAATAATTTAGTTATGGTTCCTAATATAACACTTAAAATGTCACTAGGTCTTTGGTTAATGTGTGGTCAGCATCGGACAGTGGTCCTCTGCTTTCGGTCGTTTCTGAAGCCATGTCATTTTCTAGGGTAAATAAGAAAAAGTTATTAAAAAAAATACGTATACTGTATAGTAATACAGAACATAATTAAAATTAATATTCAATTCCTTATGTTGATTAAAAAGGGCCGTAATTTTAATATAAACTAATATGATGTAGGCCTACATCAAATGTCTTTTTGTTGTAATCTGCAAGAAAATTATAATACTCAGATTAAAGGCTAGTGGGCTTGTGTTAAAGCTGCAAGATTGCCAATAACGTGTCCTCTTTCTTTGTAAAATACATGTAACTTTTTTTCAACAGAGAACGTTTATTTCCACTTTTAAACGTCTAATGTATTCGGTGAAATATACAATCTGGTTATCTAATTTTTTTGCCATTTCCCAGGTAAAAATTACCAGAGGTCATCCATAAATAACGTCACGCTTTTTTGACGATTTTTACCTCCCCCCCCCTCCCCTACGTCACACATCGTCACAAAAAGCCAGACCCTCCCCCTAAAATGACGACAGACCTCAGCCTACAATCCCCCTCAAAATTGCAATTGAATTTTTCTTAAAACAGCGATATTTTCCCCAAATCTTGTCTGAACTCGGTCAACACACACCTTGACAAAATTACTGAGCCCCCTACGAGTGTGACGTCATTTAAGGACGACCGACCCCCTCCTCTCCCCCCCCCCCCCCCCCCCCCCCCCCAGGACAAGACTCCTCTCGTGCACATAGAGAACGAGGAATACAAGGGAAGCGACCAGTTAGTGATCCACAGTTGTCTAACTTTGGTTTTGTTTACCATCTATTTTATTGATTCTCAGAATCAGGTGGCAGAGAAATTAACTTCGCTGTCAGATCGCGTTATGGGGACAGAAGAGGAATGGGGTGGGGAGAGGCGCCGAACTCATTTGAGGGTGGGGATGGCATGGCAAGGTCTGAACGTCACAAATGTTTAATTAAAAATTAAATTAGTTGACATAATTTTTTAAATTGTATTCTCGCAAATCTTTTCCTTGATTGTTATTTTATAAAATACAGCTTCGCAGATGTTGCCTGCCTTCTCTTACATCAACATCATCATTTTTTTCCTGTTCTTGCCCAAGGCGTATTATCGTGTCTCTATCGCAAAACTTGAAAGTTTATTGTCATACAAAAATCATCTTGGAAGGGAGAGTGGGGGGAGGGGGTGTGCAGACAAGAGCCAGAGGAAAATTAAACGACATAAAGAAAGCGGGGTGGGTAGGGTGTACCTGACAGCTCATAACACCACTATACAGAAGTTGTAGAATCCACATGGAAAGAGGAAGAAGGGAGGGTGGGGGAGGAAGGGAAACGTCACATCTTTCGTAAAGAGATAGGGGGAGGTTGGTTTGTCATGGATTCAGCTTTATCAAAAATAGCCACAAGTCGAGTTCATAGGCGAAGTGTCGTCCAATGTTCCTTATATAATTTAATACTAGAGTCTCGAAGGTGGCCACTAGTCTGATGTTTAAATAGTTTGATGGTAGTTTAACACACAATAAAAAAATAAGCACAAAAAATGATGACGTCATTATTACTCAATAAGTGACTTAAACAACAAAGCAATGTTTGCATTTAAGATCTATAGAAAACCTAAGCAATGGTAAAAAAGAAACGACACTAAAACGGCAACAGCGAAGCGAGAGAATGTTTATTCGATATCAGCTGTGTTCATTGATACTGTCCTCATTATTTGTTTGCAGAAGACGATAAAGTCTGAGCAGTAGTGATAGGGCGATGACCTCTTGAACCCCTCATTTGTGTAAAGCTTGTTACAGATAGGTAGACGCACGACACGACATAGGGATGCAGCTACACATTTCACTGCCCGATACAGTGTGTTGCTTTACAAGCCCTTTTTAGGTGCTTTGACCACGGTTGCTTTGACCATAGACGGTTTGACCACAGCGGGGCTTTGACCACAGCGAAAACCTAAACTACATATGCCACTGGTAATAAAAATATTATAATTTATAAGCATTAGGCTATAAAGGATGTCACACCTTTTTAAAACGATTTTTACTGCCCACATCGTCACAAAAAGCCAGAACCCCCCTAAAAAGACGTCACACTTTAGCATACAACCACCCCCCCCCCTCAAAATTGCCGTTTACTTTCGCAGATTTCTTTCTAAAATATCGAATGAGCTCGGTTAACATGGAGTAGGCCTATATTTAGTAGGGCTATATTAATCCATTTCTATTACAATTTTTAAAAAGAAACGTTTCTAAAAGGCAAAATAAAACTTCAGCTATACGTTGTTTTTAAAAAAAAATGCTAAAGCATTGCATTATCTGAACAACTCCCCCCCCCCCCCCCATCACACGATCGTCAGAGAATTACGAATCCCCTGGCACTACCCCCCCCCCCCCCTCCCCAGGAGTGCGACGACATTTAATATGGACGACCCCTACCCTTAAAATTTAATTAACTTAAATAATAAATAAAGCACCATTATTCCTATTCTAAAAATTGTAACATTATATTATATTAGTATAGATCTATATTTTACTGCATTTCCGTATTTTAACCTGCAAGCTCTCGTGATTTTAGACAATTCGTAGCTGTACCACGTACTACGATTTACGTATAAATAGACAAGTTTTGTAAACAAACGAGCACAATGGAGGCTGATAAGCATGTTCAAGTTTATCCTGCCTGTATAGCCGGCGTATTTTGATATTAATTAGATCTAGATTATATATTTTTACTGTGTAGAAGAATGGAAGATGATGACGAGGAAGTTATTTTTGAGGTAAACACTTAATATAAAATCAAACAGATCTAAGATGGTCTATTTCTAGAGTCTAGTCTAGAAATCATCTGTAACAATCTACACTCAATTACACTGCTGACTGCAGAGTACACAGTCACAGTGAGAGTGAGCCTCGGCGCTAGCGCGGCAATAAGATGAAGATCTAGATCTAGATCTAGATCTAGATTCTAGATCTAGATTCTACTATTGTAACTTTTGGCCTGCTATATCTAGATAGTAGATCTAGACTAGACTCAACTACTTTAACTAGACGTAACTAGATCTAGAATCTAGATCTAGATCTAGATCTAGAATCTAGTAGTTAGTAAAGTTAGTTACTAAGTTACTAGAAAATCTAATCTAGATTTAGATCTATCTAGACTCTATCTACTATCTACTAGTGTATCTAAAAATCTAGATCTTAGTAGATCTAGTTAAGTTAGTATTAGTATGCTACATTTTAATTTTTAAATCAATAAGAAGGCTCCTTGCCACTTCCTTGCTTTTCAAATTAGATCTAAATCTTCCTTAAGTACAGTATTAAATTATTAAAGTAAGAAGTAAGAATGAATGACTCAACTTGTGAGTTTGCATAATAAATAATTTAATATGTCACATGTGTGTAGTAGTAGTGTGTGTGAGACTGAGTGAGTAATGAATGAATGAATCAAGCTATCAATAATTAATTTCTAATTAAAACGTCTAGGCCTAACTGAATGATTAAATAATAATTTACTTTAAAATTTAAATCTGTTTAAATATGTAGTACTATGTAGACCTAGAATCTACCATTTTTTAATTATTAGGCCTATAGCCCCCCCCCCCTCCCAAATGCTGTCCAGATGACCATTATTTTATTTGCATTGAAATTAACAAATTATCACTACTCTAACCCTAGTCTTAAATCTAAACCTGACCCTAAACTGAGCTCTTAAATTGATAATGAGAAAAAACAAAATAATAGGCCCCGATAGCCTACAGTGTATTGCCATCACTTCTATTTTAAAAGAATACAAATAAATTCAAAGATGAACAAAGACAAAATGATAACAGTGAATAACTACAAAGTATCTCATTGTATGTTTTTTAATGCATTTTATTTGGAAGATGTTTGGCATTCCTTTATTTTTCAAATATCTTTATTTTTTGCACAGAACTCCGTTCTACACAAAGCACTGATAGAAAATGGATACACGGATTTTGAAACTGTTCCCAGATCTTCCAACACGAGCGATCAGTCAAAAGGGGAGGATGACAAGTTTATTAATAGCCAGCCTGGATGTGAAAGAAAATCTTACACTTATAAGGTGGACTGGATGAGTCGTTTGTTGCTCCCACCCAGTCTATTGAATGAGCTGGTTAGTAAATTGTTAGTTTCATTTCAAACTTAGAGTACCATGGCGATAATTTGCAAAGGGTATCTCTTGTGACTTTTAACAAGGTGCATTCTACCACTAGTCCCTAGTGTGCAGTTACATCATTGGTTTTTATTTTGTCAGTTTTTTTTTTGTTTAACAGGATTATTTCTCTTGTTTTAGATTTTTTTGTTTTCCCGAGTGATAATATAGGAACAGACCAGCAACATATTAAACACTGTTTAGCTAAAAATTAGTAAATACAATTTTTTTTTTTAGCATGAGAAACATCAGCATCAAACTTTGAGGGGCCTTATATCATCAAATTTGCTATCAGAAGAGGACAAATCATTTCTAGAATATTTTATTGACGATGCACCGACGGAGCAAGTGAAGAACAGATTTTGGATTGTCCCTATTCTTGTGTAAGTTGGCATGGTGTGAGATAAGATCAAATTGGTAGATCATAATCTTGATTAGTTTAGTAGAACATAATCTTTACTAGCTTGGGAGATCGTTTTTATCCAAGCTGATTTGCAAAAATTAAATATTGAAAACCTTTTGGCCAAGTTTTAATTTAAATCTCAGTGTGAATGATTTTGTTTATATATAATTTTATTTCATCTGTTTGGAAACTGATAAAATACTATTTACTGAAATAACCTCCCTTAGATTTTGTTAACATTTAAATAGATTCATACATAGAAGCAATAAAAATTGTGTAATAAATCACTTTGTTAAATGATTGCTATGTATTTATTGCTCTATTAATCACTATTTTTTAAAACAATTTCAGCCTGCTTCTTGTCACTCTAGCAGTTGTCAATGCAATGAGGTTTTCAGGAGTGATCTCCCATTGGTTGATTATGTTATGCAAGGGCTTTCCCTCCCTGATGTTTATCTTCCCTTATAGGGAGCTACTGTCCACTCTATTGGCGCACTTACTTTGCCTGTTTGTTTTTGCCTTAGCATTGGCCTATCTCAGATCCAGAGCTTACAAAAAGGTGAGATTTGTTACTGTGTACATCTTAATAGTTACTTATTCTATAATCTTGTTATGAAAAAATAAATAAGATGTACTTGTTCTATATAATTAAAAACACCTATGCAATCTTTTATCATTGATGTTGTATATTGAAGGTACAAGGACCATTGCTGGGTATAGAAAATGAGTGTATAGGCCAGATAAAGTCAACATCAATAAAATAACTGAATAATCAACTAGATTCAATCTTTCTCTATTCAAAATTATGGCACAATCTGTTAATTTTCCCTTTTTAAATGATCCTTAATTACATTTAGCATGGGATTGGTCAAATTTTAAAAAGTTCATGCATTCTCCAGGTGTTAGCTGAGTTGGAGGATAAGGTCAAGTGTGTAGCAGATTTACAACAAGAGGCCTGGGAGTTGATGCACCTGGAGAAAAAATGTTTGCGTCTGGTCAAAGAATCAGAACTGGTGGCTAGAGGATTTACTTTGTGAGTGTCTTAACTAGCATGACTCACATTTTGTCTTTTTGTTTTAGAGGATTTACTATGTGAGTGTCTTAACTAGCATGACTCACATTGTGTCTTTTTGTTTTAGAGGATTTACTATGTGAGTGTCTTAACTAGCATGACTCACATTGTGTCTTTTTGTTTTAGAGGATTTACTATGTGAGTGTCTTAACTAGCATGACTCACATTGTGTCTTTTTGTTTTAGAGGATTTACTATGTGAGTGTCTTAACTAGCATGACTAACATTGTGTCTGGTTTTTTAATGTTTGTACACTGGTGTCATGTTTAGTTGGTCCGTTTACACAAATAGCCTGTTTATATTATCAGTGAACTCATTTAGCCTATGTATTTGTACATACCTAGCCTGTTTTTAAAATCTGTATACATACTTAAACACTATGAGCTATGATATTTTATTGACTCAGAAAGATTTCTCATTTCTATAAGCTATATTTAATTGACCCAGAAAGATTTATGAATTCTATAAGCTATTTTGAATTGACATAGAAAAATTAGAATTCTCTTCTCTACAGGCTATATTTAATTGACCCAGAAAGATTCCTCATTTCTATAAGCCATTTTAATTGACCTCGAAAGATTGAATTTCTCTTCTCTATGAGCTATGATATTTAATTGACCCAGAAAGATTGGAATTGTGATTGCAGCGCCACCCAACTTTACGCCACTTCTGGCCGCAGGCTTGACCAGCTCAGCTGTCTGGAGCTCAGGCAAGCCTTACTGGATGAAAACCTGGCCCTGATGGCCATCTTGAAAACCTGTGTTGGCAACATGATGACCAAGTATCCTTTGCTAATGATCAGGCATTTGATATTCTAATCATAAGGTCATAAACTATTTAATTATGTATCCAACATACATGAACAAATAGGGTTGGGGGGGGGGGGTAAATATAGTTGGTGCTACCATTAACCTTAATATTGTGAGTTCAGATCCTGAATTGGCTGAAGCTATAAGATGTCCTGATGTCTGCTTAGCTTTGATGTCTGTTTGCACTGGTAACAAAATTCCCCCCCCCTCCCTTCCCCTGCCAAGGCACAGCAATAGATGAAACTAGTTGACTACATTACCACAAAATGCTTTAATAAATAAAATTTGTCTTTAAGTGCATTATAAATTAATTGACCCTGGTTTAATAAGATAAAATAAAATTATAATTAAAAATACAAAAACAGTGGATCCAGTAACGGCGGTTGCCCCTAAGCTCACCTCCATTGGTTCCTGCTAGCTGTAGTATAATTGATCGTAAGCGTTTGTTGTGTTAGCCCTTAACCGCCCAAAGTTTACCAATGATTTGTAAAGACTCAGACTATAACACCTTGGACACGCTAGTTTCTGATCTGGTTAACGACACCCGACAACACGATGACCAGTGGAACAAGTTGTTGGGAGATGGCTTACAGGCTGCTATGTGCAGTCAATCCAACATGGGAGTTGTTTCCCCTGCTCAGCTTACAGTGAGTTAAACAAAATAATTGTTCTTTTTTTTTTCTGTCGTCATTCTGTCTGTGGGTTTCTGGCAAATGTTTTGTTCAAACTTTCCCGATACATTCATCTCTAAATACAACGCTAATCTTATTAAATTAGTCATTAAAATTAAGTTAATTGGAGGATTACTATATTCAATCATAAAAGGGAGATAACAGCATTAATTAGTGTAGCATTAACTGATCTCTTATGTAGGCTTTATACACCTATGTTTCATACCTGAGAAGTGAAAATGGACTTGATTATGTAACAGATAATTGTCTTTTTTAAAGTAACTGATTTGGTTTTATAGCAAATATTTTTAGTTGTGTAGGTGTTGGCTCAAATAACTGAATAAAAAATAAAAGGTGGTTGGGAGAGGGGGGGTGGCTGACTAAAATTTGTAAATAATTTTTATTTCGTTTAGGGTGGGATGGATGTGTTTCAGAGATGCCTGAAAGAAACTCTGCTGCATACCCTTGCAGCTTTACAGCATCTAAACACTAAAAAGTAGTATATAAAATAAGTATGAAGCTCTTAAAATAATAAGCTTTCAAAAGTACTATTATAAGGAACTAAACTTCATCTCTTTAGTAACAGTTTTGATCACTAAAATGTGTGATTTCTTAGATAGAAATTATGCTTTATTTCCTAATTTTCAGTATATTTAAAAGATTAATATTAAGACTTTTATAATTGTTTTATTTTATTATTTTCCCTGCTGTTTGCACCACCCCATTAAAAACAATTTTTAAAACTAAGATGTTTTCACACTCAGATCGCTTCCATGCAATATTTTTCTTTTAAATTTGGATAATTTTCAAGTGTTTACACTAAATCTGTTGAATTTGTTTCTAAAACTGTGTTGTGCTGTGTCCTCATATTTTGGTTACAATGTGTATTACTTTTTGTTCACACATCCATTTTTTTTCAGGTGATTAAAAACAAAGTTGAGTTTTACTTAAAGAAAAAAATATTTGTTTACAACTCACAGCTGGTAGCCAATGAAAACTGTTGTTACATTTGTCATGTGAATGAATGATTTTTACTTCACAAGCCAACTTTCTTAATTTATCATTCACTGAAAGTCTGACTGACAGTGAACATCATTGTGTTTTTAACCTGTTTTTAATCTTAGTGGTACTGAAATATATTTTAAATTTCTATTTTGACATAGTTATAATTGTTAGCATCACTTGCAAATTTTATTTTTATCTTACAGGTATTTCAGGTGATAAATCTCAATGCTTAAAATGATTTTTCTCTTCCACAGAAGTGTGTAGATTTGGTTAATGTTCATATTTCTGGATTACTGAGGCGTCTAGTACTTTGTTTTTATAGTCAAAATTTTCAAGGTAAATATAATTAAGCCAATTATTCATTCTTTAAAATTTGTCTCTTTAGCCCTTATTCATTTTTAACCACTGGGTTTTTTATCGTGTGCAAACATGTACTATTTAGGATGGGAATTTTTATACCAAGTGTCCAATTTTAGAATCTTCTTTAAAAAGGAGGGTTAGGTTACTGATAGTTCATTAAATACACACATGGCTTGCTAGTGTCAATGTCAACCCTAACCCAAACCCTGGTCCTGCCATTTGCCTAACCCTAATTTCTAACCATAAAACTAGTTGAGATTACAATACTATTAACCTAACACTTATTTTTTTGGAAGAGTCAATTATCGGACATCTGTATCTAAAATAATCCTTTAGGATTAATTTTAAAATCAAGGTGAAAAATTTTATGTTTTATTTAGTAAAATTTTCCAAGAGAAACGCCTTATTGAACAGCTTTTTGAACTTCATAGTTAACAGGAAAAAATAGAATGCTGTAAAACTTTGTACATGTTCATCAGACAGAAGCATCAACCCTTTCACGGCTTCTGCTGCTTGTGTTCTTGAAGCCAAAAAAGCCTTTCAGAAAGCAAGATCATCACTGACTCGGACACACAACTACTCGCGTGCCATTCACATATCCAAGTCTGAGGAGTCCAGCCAACCTAAGATGAACCCGGCCAACAAGACCCAGCTCAGCAACCTGCATGGCTGCATCAAGAGCCTTAACCTTCACGTGCAGAGCATGCACACTCTGTAAGTTTACTTAAAAATTTGCTTTTCAGTTAAAACATTTTTTCCTGCCAGTATAAACACTGGCCCAAACTTAAATATTGTGCTTCCTAGTTACAAATTGTGCTTCTCTGCTTTGTTTAAAATTACAAATTTTACATGTTCATGTAAAAATTTTTCACATAAATGCATGCTGTAATAAGGGATTTCTATAGGCATATGTGTATATAGTGTTTATTTAGTTATTGATCATACTATTACTTTAGACCCCACGGAAAATATTGTTAGGTACATTACATTTAATTATACTTACAGCATTACCTGTTATTTAAATACTTAAGCAAAAAACAGCCTAATTTTATTAAATATAATTTTAGAATCCAGTTCAGAAAAAAATATTTAAAATTCAAATCTTCTCTTCTTACTCAGTGCTACAAGTATTAAGATTTAGTTTAATTTATTTAATTTAAAAAAAATTATTTCAGGACAAAGAATATGTTGGAGGCTCTGGAAGAAAAGGTGGATGATGAGGCCCGCAGGATTGAAGCTGGTGAAAAACTTGGCTCGACTCTGAACATCAGCATGGAGGAGAGAGAGATGTGGGACGTCGACCTCAAGCTGATGAGTGCTAGGTTGGACTTCTGCAACACTTGCCATGAAGAGGCAGTGAAGATCATGCATCATAAGCATGTCGTAGGTGAGCTTGGGTTTTTCTAGCTAGCCTCATACTGGACATCAGGTCATCCTGCCTTCATCAGCAACCTCCCCCTCCTCACCCACCTCCTCACACCTAATCTTATAATCCCCTTCACCCTTTCTTGTAAATTTGCAGTAAATTAAAATTTTAAAAAATTCTGTATCAAAACTTTGTAAAATTCTTTCCACCCCTCTCTTTGTTTTGAATGTAATAATACATTTACTTTTATAGTCAGAAGTAAAATTTTCTACCCCTGTTTTGAATGTAATATAGTTATGGTGCAAAGTAAAAAACATTCTTAATCTCCCCCCCTCCCATGCCTTGGTTGTAGTTTCAGTGTTAGATGAACCAGTAAGACCAAGTGCTTACAGAAATGTCATCATCAACCAACCCTATGCAAGGGCAGCTGAGGATTACATCAATGTTGACCAAGTAAGTTTTTTTTACTGCAGGATCTTATCACACATTCAAACTACAGTAGTCACTAAATACTTTTAGTAGAGCTACTAGTATCAGTATTTTTCTTCTTGTCTGTAATTTACAAGATTGAAGAAAGTGACCCTATAATTTATCATTTTTCCTTTAGCTGAATACTGCCATAAATGTTTGTCATGTATTCAACTTTAAACACTTAATAATAATCTGACTGTGCTTAAAAGATCAAGCCTAAATATTTTAGTTTAAGCTGAATTCTGCTTCCCTTGCATCACTTATTTCTGTAAAATTATTGCCAATAAACTTTCTTACAAATTACTTGTAAAATTGATGATAGAAAATGTTGAAACTGCCCGGTTTAATTTAAGCTGAATTCTGCTTCCCTGACAACACTTGTTTCTGTAAAATTATTGCCAATAAACTTTCTTACAAATTACTTGTAAAATTGGTGATAGAAAATGTTGAAACTGCCCGGTTTAATTTCAACAGGTTTTGGTTGGTACAGGTGATGGAGATGACCCATGGGATAGTAGACCAATCTACACTGCTGAAGAAAAGGTGAAATCCTTTTTTTTTTTGGTGTGCAATTTTTTATTTCATAGCTAACAAATGATACTATGGTTTTTGTAGGCTCAGCATTGTGGTATACTTGTGTATAATTGACAAATTAGGTGCTAATGTCAGTAGTCCCAAACCAAAGGTCATGGCTTCACCTGTGTTGCACCTAGCGGTCAGTGCCTGACCTGCCATAGGTGCTAATGTCAGTAGTCCCAAACCAAAGGTCATGGCTTCACCTGTGTTGCACCTAGCGGTCAGTGCCTGACCTGCCCCATGTGTTGCACCTAGCGGTCAGTGCCTGACCTGCCCCGTGTGTTGCACCTAGCGGTCAGTGCCTGACCTGCCCCGTGTGTTGAACTAAAATTGTGGCTGACTTAAATTTACTAGAAACAACTCATGATAAATGTAAAAGTCCTATCAACTAGAAAAATGTGTGCTAGAAATATTCATCCTGTTATCTCCCTTACTTTATAGGTTTGGCCAAATAAAAGGCTAAAATTCTTGTTACAATTGTCTTTAAATTATTTATACCTTTTTAAACTTTTAAAGATAAAAGAAACTTGGTTGACCACAAAGTTCAGGCTAAACTTCTTTTATCTTTAAATTTCCTTGAATCATCTGACTTTTGAACTGTTTATTGCGCCATGTAACAACTTCCCTCCCCTCCCCTGTAGGTAAAGATGAGAGAAGCTATGGAGATCAATCGATCTTTCCGGTCTGAACTCAAGCACCATATCAGTAAAGTTCATGCCTTTGTGAGAAGCAGAGAAGAGGTTGCCCTGGCGGAGGCTAGAGAGAGGGAGAAGCCTGGCCAGGTCACCCCTCTGACAGGGTGTGGTGTGGAGTCTCTAGCTATTCTTTGTGTTAAGGTGCTGAGGAGAGAGACCAGGGACCAGATGAGGAGAGACGGGCCGGTCAAGCTGCGTCCGTCCCTGACCCCAGTAGCTGGAGACATCAGCTTGGTTGATGAGGAGGAAACGTCTGAGAAAGTGAAAGTAATGGTTTCCGTCAAGGCTTTGACTAAACACCGCCATTCGGATCAGCTCATATTCAAAATGGATACCTCTGGCAGTGATCCTTCTTCCCACAGCAGCAAGTTTTCTGTAGGGGATGATTCAGGGTCACTCCCTTCATCCACAGCTTCAAACCCTGAAGAGACTGCGATTAGTTCGGCAATGGAGATCGTGGTTGAAAAACCCAGTGCAGCAGCAGCAGTCTCTAGCGCTGATGAGAAAAAGTTGAGGGCCAAGCAGAAGAAACAGGCCAAGCTGTTGAAGTTTCAGGCTGGTGGGGTGAGTGACATAGAGAGGCAGGACAGAAGCTATTGGAGCCGCTGCCGCAGGATGATCAACGTAGACTCTACCAGCACCAGTACTGGGAGCACTGGCAGCTTCAGCCCACCCAATGAGAGAACTGCTCCTGATCTGGATTTATCTGCTGGATTATCTACTACCCTAACACTGAATAGGCCATCTGGGTTATCACCACCCAGACAGCGGGACACATTTATGGGAATCTTTGGGCCCCAGGTGCTGGCTACACCCTCACAAATGGTGGGACCCCAAAGGCAGGATACATCTTCTGAAGCAGTGGGACCCCAGTCTCTGGATGCATACGCTAGACAATTGGCATGCCAAGCACTGGATGAGTACAATAAATTCCTGGCAACATGCAAGCCTGCTGCATCAACTGATGCATTGGCATCTGATGTCAACTGCCCATTGAAGATTAACTCGGATGAAGAAAGCTTCAGGCTACTTTACGATGCTAAGGCATCTGGCCATAACTTTACTGCCAGCAGCATGGAGGCCAGGAACTTGCAAGCACCTGGGGGATTGCTGCAGAGAAGCCTGGCTCCACTGGCGCTGGGCGGTGCCAACTACCAACCTGAGGAATATGATTCTGACAATGGGGAGAAGATCCCACGCAGTGAGGCAGTGCTGGACAAAGATGGCAAGCCAGAGGTGTTTGGCCAGCAAGACGCTAATGCCAGGGGTGTCGCAGCCAATCGCACCCCTTCACCTGATCGAGACTTTAATATCAGGGGTGTTCCTGCCAATCCCACCCCTTCACCTGATAGAGACTATAATATCAGGGGTGCTCCGGCCAATCCCACCCCTTCACCTGATAGAGACTATAATATCAGGGGTGTTCCTGCCAATCCCACCCTTTCACCTGATAGAGACTATAATACCAGGGGTGCTCAGGCCAACCCTATTCCTTCGCCTGAACGCGTGTCCAGCTTCAACCAAAGCGTGGCCATTTTGGCTGCCCAGAAGGCAAAAGCTTTCATCGCAGCAGGGATGGAGGAGGAACAGTTTGGGGATGTTTCTTCAGATTCCTCATAAGCTGCCGACATGGTACTCTTGGACCATGTTCCAAGACATTTTTAGGGCAGAGTGTACCTGGTGTAGATGCTTGTAGCTAAGGGACTAAACTGAGATGTGCAATAAACTTCAGCTGTGATGGCCTGGCTGTTATACCAATGTCTTTCAAAAAACTTCCTCAGTTTAACTTGGCTACAAAATTTTAGGCCAGCGCACCTGTTTACAAAGATTTTAATTTTATATATTTTTAAAAATTTTAATTGTAAAGGTGTATTGTAAGTTAAATATCCTAATGAAAACTCATGGAGTGTTGTAAAGGAAACTTGAGTGGAGGATTAATGGCAGAACTGGATTGATTAAAGCATGAAGTTTGAATGTGATATGGTAAAAGAGAAAAGGAAATGCTGTGTGGTTGAGTGTAGTAAAGTTGACTACATGGAAATGTTGTGCAACTGGGCATAATAGTGTTAAAAGACAATGTGTAATGTAGAATGCCAGAGCTAGTCAGTAATCTTTTGAATGGAGTGATAATTAGGCTTATTTTTATGTGCTTTAATCATTTTGTTTTAAATGTTAAAACAAAGTTTAAACATTGTCATAGCTTAGTTAGTTAGAAAAATTTGAAATGTAGATATGTTTAGACAAGTTTTTGGTTGTTTTGCTTAAAAAATTTAAATTATGAAGCTATGACATTGTTAGAGTAAAAAGAAGAGGAAATTTTTAGGGCTAGGAAGGTTTTATTAGTTTTTTTTCTTCCTTGCTTGTAAAGATGTTAGGTGGAAGTTTTAAACTTTGTTTTGAAATATTTTAATTGTAAAGTCCTTAATTGTAATTTGTAAAATTTTCAATAACTTGTAGGAGCTTAAATGAATGTTGCTGAAGTGTTTGGTTAATATGTGAGTAAAATGGTTTTAGAGAATGGTTCAGTGTTAATGCGTAAAAGTGTTAATAACTGAGTGTTAAGTGGTTAAAATGTATGTTGGTTAATGTCTGGTTGTGAAGTTGAGTTAATGTTTGGGTGGTGATTTGTAGGAGTATTGAACAAGTTGTTGAAATCTTTTTAATATTTTTAACTTTCTA